CCTGAAGAAGTGCCGTCACGGGCACACCCACCACCGCATCCATAACCTATATGGGAAAAATATGATTTCTAGCGATCTCCCTGCAAATAAGAGCAACAAATAAATGAAAACAACAACCTTGCCAAAGAAAAATTGGGTGATTTGTAGCAACCTCCAGCAAAGACGGTGTAGAACCAAATTTAGAGAACATGAGCGATGTTAGCTAGAGAATGAGTTTTGGGGTGATGAGGAACTTCAATATGAACATGGCTTAGAAGAAATCACCACAAAGGGCTTCTTATTCAAAACGTCAGAGTGGACTTATTCACTGGACCAAAAAAAGAAAAAGATGAGAAGATAGGAGGGGGAGGAGGGCAGTCACGCTTCTTCCTCCCCGCTATTTGGAGTTTTCCTTTGGGACTCACAGCAGCAGAGAGCGGCTAGGGTTAATTCTTGTTTAATTTGAATGTGTGATATTGATTAACAGTCTTACGCAACTTTATTTTATAGTGATTAAAAAACTTTAACAATAAACATATTGTAAATGGCCTATTTTTGTTTTGGGCTAGGTGAATGATTTTTAAATTTTGTTTTGTTCACGGTTAATGGGTAAACTCATGTGCTACATGCATGATTAATATGAGAGTTCCGAGTGAATAGAACATAGATGAATAGTATCTTGAGTGAATTATACTCGAAATAGTAACTATAATGGAGGAGAAGGGAGGCAGAGAGGGAATTTTTTACAAGACCTGACCCAAATTCCCCTTTGGAATCCGAGTTGAACCCTGTGCGTGTCCGACACCTGGCAGGTGCTGGCACAAATGACTTATTTGCCCTTCTACTCAAAATTCAATCTATTTCAAGTTTTACTTCTGCCGAAAATTCGGCAGAGTCTCCCTTATAAACTGAACATTCCCAAAATTTCCTCCTGTCAACAAACAGTTATATAACCCAAGCATTCAGCATGTATCGAATTATATCCAAGAAATCAAGCATCATAACATTCTGGCCTCAGGCCTCAATAAATTGAATAAATCATTCTGTTAACAACATTCAATTCAATTTCTTAGAACATCCCCAGAACAATGTTAGATTTCATAATAACTTAACTGAACTACCTTTTAATTACTTGATCTCGTGGCTGCACCTAGAACCCTAGGTTGCTTACGTACCCTTAACAAGGGATCAAGCCACACGTAGTTCTTCCATGCAATTGTGAAACCACTCTAGTTCTCATATTTCATCTAAACTCCCCATTTTCCAAGCTCCTTGCATTTCCCACATGGCAATATATATAAATAAATAAAAGAATAAAAACAATTAAATTCAGGTAATCACGCTTGGAAAGCCATAACCATCAATTCCTCGTGTCACCATTGGTGACACGTTCTCGCAGGTCTCGGTAACACAAAATCGACCCGAGCCGCAATCCTCGCAGGATTCAGGGGACGTTTAGTGAACCTGATCTGCAATTCTCGCTCCACACGGTCCGGATATCCCTAAGACTCGTAGGGCAAAGTCAAACATGCTGACTTAACCAAAGGCAGCCAATTTATCTGAACGCAACAGAAATACCTAAGGCAACATTTATTATATTTGGGTACCTAGAGTGGTTTTAAGAAAATATAAGTTTCTGGAAGGTTTGGAATAAATAAAATGAATTCTTTTTATCTTAAAACTCTGCTGCCATCCCATCTAATAGTTCTTCGAAATTCTTATTTTCCATATTCTTTAAGCATTCTCAACTCGGCAGCATATAAATAAAATATTTAACCTCAGCAAAATATGCTAGAAAAACTCGAGCTATTTAATACCTATTCAAGATCAAAAAATGAAATTAAACTGCATAAATTCATTTATGAAAACAAAAGTCCGCCCACTAAACTTCCTCTAACTCATGAATCCGTTAGTGCACTATTGGCTTAAATTATATATGTATATCAAATAATAATAAAAAATACAGATAAACGAATATAATAAAATAAAATAAACTAAAATAAAATAAATTAAAAACTAACAAGCTCCAAAGACATTTGTATCATTGCATCGAAACTCACGTAAGGCTCATATAAAAAAAAAAATTATATATATATATCAACAACTTGATTAGAATCTATATATATATATATATATATATATATTTCCAACTATCACTTGTAAAACAAATGTGTCACTTAAGAAAATATAGTAACCGTATAAAATCCTCAATTTTAATTTAAAAGCATTTCAAAACTTAAATTCTTTCCACCTAGGCGTACCCCCATCCCTGATCTGTCAATTCCGTTATTACCGTCAATTCCATCCTCGCAGGCCTCGGAAACCTAAAGTTAGCCAAGCCGCATTCCTCGCAGGCCTCGGAGACACCAAGTCCACTCGAGCCGCATTCTTCGCAGGTCTCGGAGACACCAAATCACCCGAGTCGCATTCCTCGCACCACACGGTTCAAGCGTCCCCGAAACTCGTAGGGCATTATCAGAAATAACCAAATTGTTCCAAGGCCACTGGGGGGTACTCCTATGGTGGGTTTGAAACTCATATATCGAAATTTATCACAAACTTTACCCTTTGTTCCTCAAATTTATTTTCAGCTACTGAGTCTATGGATCAATTACAGATATGCACTTAAACATTTAGCTAGTTTGTTAATCACATTGGACTCTGATTAGCATACCATTTCAGTACTTTAACTATAATCTCTTAGCAACAAATAACTATGCGAATAATCCAATAGGTGACTAAATAATACAGACAAGTAAATAACTAATCACTACTCCTAGAGATTTCATCAAATCCCATTATGTATACTCATCCCATAATCATATAAATTCAGGAAAACAATGCCATGTTAAAACCAACGAACACTAGTACGTACATAAACTTCCTAAGAATCTCAAACAACTCCTGTAGAACACAACATACTTATTTAATCTGGAAACCTTGACCCCCGGCTCCTGAAAGTGCGTGTACTAGTGTAATGTCATTCCCATGCTCACAAAAGCTTTTCCAATAATTAGAACGGTCAAAAAGAGACCCGGGACTAAAAAGCAATAAAGTCCCAAAAAGTCAACCCGGGACACCGTGGGGTCCATGACCTCAACATTCCGATCCGAGAGTTCCTAGAAGTCCCAATTTTGCCTAGGACAAATGTCTCGAAAGTTTGACCTTGATCGGACGGTCGGATTGCTCACGATCGCACGACTATACGATTCCTGTAAACCTAACCTTAGGGTTCGCGATTTCAGAGTATCCGGGACTCCGATTTACGATCCGTCGAATCCTATACGATCCTAGAATTATCTAGATCAACATATATTAAATTCAAGATGATCCAACGGTTCAAACCTATCGAACCTGAATAATGCACAATAGGCGACATCTGTTCGAGACTCAAACGACATCCGAATTGGAATCAGAGCACACCTACGCGCTTGTGACAACTACAGAATCGCATTGGAATACAATGCCCCTGTGCTATAGTACCCACGCTTCGACACACGCGAGGGTAGCTCGCGGGTATCCTAAGCGATAGCGACTGCCAGAAAAACCTCAAAATTGAGGGCCAAGATTCCTACCCTAGGTTCAGGGCATCAATTGGAACCACTTTTGTTTTTGGACCAACCCTAAAAAATGGCCCAAAGTGGCCGGAATTTCAATTCAAAAACCGGTCAACCTTTCGGTTACAAATCAAGTTACCTACGCTAGGAATTGATCAAATCCTACCCAACCATCAGCTAGAGCACGAAAAATAGGTGAGAAACAATACCTCACTCGACTGGATTGGTGGCCGGAGAAGGGAGAGCGACAGCGGCGAAATTTCGAGCAAAAACCGGCCTTTCCTCTTGATTTTCCGGCGGCTAGAGCTGCCGTTGGCGGCGAGGGTGGCTTGGGTTGTGACGGCGGGACCTGGGCGGTCGCTTTGGGACCTGTCCCAGCTCCGGTGTAGGGCTATGGTAGACGTCGCTGCCGAAACAAACCAAGGGGCTCTCGACGGAGAGAGAGAGAGAGAGAGAGAGAGAGAGAGAGAGAGAGAGAGAGAAGAAAGTCAATTTTTAAAAATCTGATTTTCGAAATTACCATTTTGCCCCTCAATGCATTTTAATCGCATTTTCTTTGTCATAACTCCGATTCGAGCCCACTACGTGTCTACGGACTCCGTTCGACACGATCTACGCAACTATACAATTGAAATTTCCAAATTCCTTCCCGGTCAAAAAGTCAACATTTTCCCTAATAATTTATTCTAAGGGCAAAATTGTCTTTTTCTCTAATAATTTAATAATTAAAAATTAATTAAGGTTTGGGTTATTACAATTTTGATTTGAATGTTTTGGTGTGAAGATGAAGGAATCAAGGGGGGTATTTATAGAATTCACCGACGGCCCGAATCGATTTGAATATTTAATTCGAATGCCGAGTTCTTTTATCAGGTGTAAGGAGGTACATGACAGCTTTAAGATGGATGGTCTAGATGCATTCCCAACAACCAACCTAAAGGCCTAAATCAAGTCAAAAGTCTTTTATTTGATCTACGGTCCAGATTTGATTAGATTCAAATCAATGGCTTAGATGAGACAAGCTCACGGAAATGTGTTATACACCCTAGTCAACCTACGAATAGTAGTTTGAGTCAAAGTCTTCATTTCCGTCCAACCAATCTAGTGTTGACATGTGGCCACGTGATATGTTCCAACCAACCATAAAATGCCACGTGTCAAATCTATTTGCTTTTCCTATTTTCCAACTTTGAAAATTCACTAGAAATACTTCCGAGTTCAGAAAAATACCACAAGGTCGTATCGAACGTTAACTATTTTTCAATGAAGTCAAAACACCAAAATTCTAACTTCAAATCTTCGGAATTAAGTTATTCTCAAACATAATTGCAATATTTACTTAAAAAAATCTTGTCATTTACCTCAAAATGGACAATGCAATATTTATTCTGAGCGCAATAATATTATGAAATTTTTCCTGGGCTCACAAATTAGTAGTCTTGCGGAAAAAAAAAATTAAATCTAAATCTCATCAAAAATAAACTTTTGTTGAAATTAGCCCAAAATTGTGACCTGAACACTTTCCCAAGGCCCATATAATTGTCGGGAGGACTCGGCAAAAACAAAGAAGCGTTGGAGTTGGTTCAGCCGCCATAAATTAACTGTTTTTCAAAAACTGAAAAGAAAAACATCGAACTCAAACATCGGATCGATTCCCTCAAGTTCAAGACATGACATCATTCGTCCTACACGGCCTCCCCGATGATCTTCGTTCTACGGGTGGATCAATTTGGGTATGTCAAATGTGCCCAGTTGTTATTCGATCAAATGCCAAGCCCAGATTTTTATTTGGGAGGAAAGTGATGCTAAGGTGGTATTGTGTGCACCACTTGTATGACAATATGCGTCAGAGAGCATGACAATAAGTTCCAAGAGGCTCGGACTCAATTACAATACTTCAGTTAAGGGAGGAGGGTGCACTGCCGGATTGTTCAGGTGGCGAGGCCTGAGAGCTTTTGTTGGCGAGGCCACATTTTATGGTGAGGGAGGGTGATGCCTCTGGCACAACCACAATGCGTAAGTTACCAAGTTCCAAGTCTTTTTCTTGTTCTATTTTTTTCATTTTCTCTTTCTGTATTTCTTCAGTTTTGGGGTAATTAATTTCATGTGTTCGACTTAAAAACTTTAGTATAATTTGAGCTTGTGAGTAAAACCCAAAATGCACACAAGGGCTTATAGTTGTTCAAACTGTAAATTTCAACCATGAATTGATGTTAAGTCACACAGGGTTCCTTTTTAACTTTATATGTATGCATAGCTGTAAGGTGGATTTTGTAGCTGAGAATTTATTAAAAAGGACTCAGGTGTTTATTAGCTGCCATTGTTTGAAGAATGGTGAAATTGTGGACCCTCTGCATCTCCGTAGTTTGATGGTTTGTGTGGTTAATGATTAAACTCTGTATGATAGGATGTTGGTTGCCTTTAATCCTGGAATGGATGGTGATAGTAAGTTCAATTTTCATTTCTAGATATACGTTTTCGCTTGAACATCACAAGGAAAATATGCATTAGGAAAACCTAACCTTCAAAGCATATATGTGGAAATTCATAAGTAACTGATAGAATTGCATAGGATTGTGACGGCGACGGCTGAACCCTAGTTTCTCTCTATATTGTTAATTTTAAAAACGTTTTTATTCTCTGCTATTATTACTTGGTGAAATTGTGGACCCTCTGCATCTCCGTAGTTTGATGGTTTGTGTGGTTAATGATTAAACTCTGTATGATAGGATGTTGGTTGCCTTTAATCCTGGAATGGATGGTGATAGTAAGTTCAATTTTCATTTCCACTAATTTAATGTTTATTTTCAGTTTTTGGAGTTCGAATTGAAGTTACTGTGCAACGGCAGCAATCTAACATGTTCCATACTACCTTGCAATGCAGCAATGGAGATGACCCCTGTTCTAATTTGGCAGAACGGTAGGACACCAGACGTATATAGGAAATATTGGAGCGAACCATCAAAAGGTCCTTCCAAGAAGAACTTGGATCGAGAGCCTACTTATAGTGCTTGAGACATGCTTTCTGGTGAGGGGTTAATTCTCATAAATACAAGATTCACATGTACGTTGTTTAAAAAATAAAAACTTCTAAAAGTTCAATTGGACTCCTTTCAAATGCAGGGATGATGGAAAATTTGCAATATGTGTAGTAATGTATATTGTTTCGAATAGGAGCAGTTTATGTATAATACGTAAATATAAGACCTGTAGGATGAGAACTAAATACATTTGAAATGAATCTGAATATACTTATGCTGAGATTTGATGCCTTTGACGTCTTTTTTTACGACATTTTTTCAATTGTTCTACATGAGAGAAAGATGCGAAGAAATGGAACAGAGAGATCTTTGTTGTTTCTGCATTTGACTGATGTAAATAGTCATGTTTATTCGGATTGTTTGGTTGAAGTTGAGCAATACCGAAGTTTCATTTAAAAAAAGAAAACCTAAGACCACAGCTACATCTAAAAGTATTCTATTACTCCCTCTTTCTTCGTAACAATATGAATGTGTAAATCAGATAAGTAGGTCAACATACATGGGCTGATTGTTTGAGGAAAAACTGAATTGTAGAAAGAAAGAAAATAGCACAATTTGTTTTTTCATAGCGAATTATTCCTGTGTTAGAGAAATAATAGGAAATAAAGCGGTTTTATTTTTTTGGTTTTCTTGAAGAAGTTATTCTTTTGTTTTTTCTTTGTTCCTTTGCTTTACCATCATTATTGAGGATTCAGATGAAGGCGATGCTGTAGAGGATTCCATTCCCTTGGATAATGGCGTGCCCATTGACTTTGGCGCTATTGAGGTTGTCCAGTGCCTCATGGCACATCACAATGCTTTTTTCACAGATGCCTACGAAACGATCTGTAGATGACACACATTGCTTGTTTCCTCATACAGCATGGGACTAATTGAGTTGGACAGTCCAACTGATAATGTTTCCAGAATGAAATCAGATCTGGTTGAGATGACGATTACACATTAGAAGATGTTATGACCTTTTCCAATCCTTTTGATTTGGGCTCATTTGTTGTCCTTGAAAACCCTAATGTGTATTTTCCTACTAATCTCGTGTTTAGCTCCACCTAGATATTTATCACATTTGTTGTTAAAATTCCGTTCCCTCGAATTAGTTTTTTGTTTGATGCATTGAAACTGTTGCTGTGGGGAAGCTTTCATTGAGTCTCACTTGTTTTAGCAAAGAAAGTGTACCTGTGTTTGGCACTCAGCTTTACCTTGCTATCAAGAATCTTTTACCATTCTCACATTTTATATCCATAACAATGGATTTTCTCAACACTGCTTCTCCTGCACCAAGAAAGGAGTATGAGACAAACACAGGTGATCGGATTTCTAATTCCTTAACCGAGTACAATTTTCCTTTCAGTAGTAATTTTTCTATTTCAAAGTATCAATTTGGTTATAGTTTTTAACTCTTCACATAGCTCCAGGCTGACAACTGGAGCTCTGCAGCTGGCTGAGGGTTCACACTTGATCTTTGCTGAGACCTAGTTGGAAGCTGGGACTCTCAACTCTGTCGGGGTTGAAAATGCAAGAGTGCTAAAAACTCTAATGGAGTTGCAAAAGGTGATTTTTCTGTTAAATTAGAAAACTCTGCCTGGTTTGATCCTTACTAGTAGACAATGCATTCCTGAGAATTTTAAAAAAATTTGTGCTTCATGAGATTATTATGTCATTGATAGCAGAGTATTGCGCTAAGGCACTTGATAGATTTTAATTTGTCTGTTTCTGGTGAAATATGGTTTTAAGTTCTATAAACAATGCATGAATGGTAAAAGATTCTTGATAGCGAGGAAGCTGACGTCCAAGTGCTTATTCTTTCAGAAGGTAAATCAAACATTTTGCATGTTGCTGTAGTGTTAAGTTCCCACCCTTGTTCAATTGGTTCCTCTGAAGTTGCTGCAGAAGCACTAGAGGTTTGGTGATGGTACTTGGCTACTCTTAGATCATTGCCGCATTCTATTGAGTCAGAAATGCAGAAGGTAAGAGTTAGCTTGACATCAACAATTAACCTCTTAAACTGAGTAGAACTGTCATGGTCTGATACCTTACAGGTGATACAACATGACTTGGTTGCTGCAAGGCAAGAAGACAGGAAACTGCGCCACTGCAGGTTAGGGACTTGAAGATTTTCCTAGGTCAATTTTACTCAGAGCATCAACTGCTTTTATGTTATTACGTACTAACTCAAAACACTGAATTTATTTCAGGCCAACTATTATGCAAATCCCAAACACTACAACCCTGTTTTCCGTGAAATAAATTGCCCCTTATGCATCTGTAATTGGTATGCTTTACACGCTGCTATCAACTTTTTCAGGCAAAACAGTAGGGTTAATGACATTTACTGAGTGTTTTACTTGGAATATAAATTAAGAAGGATTCTGGAAATATTACGGTTATCCATTTCATCTTTTCGTAATGATAATTTTATTTTTCACAAATTTTCGGCTGGCAGTGAATTGCATGTATTGGGATAAAAGATTTCCTCGCACAGAAATAAGAGCAGGGCATTCTTCCTTCCTGATATAGCCTATTCCTTTTTCTCTCACACTCACAAGGCTCAGAAGGAAAACATGCCACTTCTAGACAAGGTCTAGTCTTATTTTGCATTTGCAGATTTTATGAGCACGGCAGTGATTGATAAATACCTGTTTTGCTTCATTGCCAGTTTATCATTGTTGGGATCTCTGATGTCAGATTAAGTTATAGAGGCCAATGAAGTTAGCAATCAAAGCACATATTACTGGTATAAAAATAAAACGACAGAAACCATTAACTGTGATAAAGGACAGCATTCAAGATACAAAAATTTGGCACCCATTCTGTAATTCCAGAAAATAATGATGTCTTCCAATATTCTTAAAAAACAGAAACTCGCGAAAACAAAAGTACCACAATGCGCTAAAATCAAAAGGATAAAACAAAAACAAAAACAAAAAATATCCCCAAATCCACGGCAAGAAAAGGCACATCTTCAAGTTGAGTGGAAGGGAGGCTAGCTATACCATGATCTGCATAAAACAAAAGAATTAAACAAGTCAATAGAAGGATGAAAGCCCAAGAGTGACTAATTACGAGGATAAAAGCCCAAAGAAAAGAGTCTTCTATTCACATAGAATAGATTTTACCTTCATATGATGGCATGAATCTTCTCCAAGAAATCAGGGTACAACCTTTTGACCTCAGCGTAGGCAGCATCAAGGGTAAAATCACGACGATTATCATCTTCATATACATCTTTCAAAAATTCTAGAAGGTCCCATACACATTCACCGTCATATTTCGAATTGAAAATTTTATAAACCTTTTGGAACTCACGAACCATATCTTTCCTATTCCATCCCCTATACTTATAGAATGCCCTAACATCTAATCTTCTCTTGAACTTGCTTTCATTTGCAGAGTCATGTATACTGTAAAAACACTTCATTCTTTCTGTTGGAGTTAATAAAAAGGGATGGCTTGCTAGTTTCTCGATAAATATATGGTACCTGGAAACAAAAGCAACAAAAATTCAACACTGAGGTTTGTAAGCCAAATTAAGTAAAATACATTATACCTTTTCATGTAGAAAAGAAAAAAGAAAAAAAAAAATTCAAGTACACTAAACTTACGGATATTCTTCTTTGTCAAAGAAATCAAAGAAAGAATCACGATCAACCCAAGAATCTTCTGGCAACATTATTTTTTCCTTTAACATGTCCCTAAATGCTTTTAAGTCATTCATTCTCAACACATTTACTTGTGAAGGAGGATCTTCGAGATCTTCAAAACTACTTTTGATGTTAATAATCTTGATTCGACCGGAAACAACAACATAATTGTCACTTTCATTCAAACCCTTATGAAACAACTTGTAAGAATGTATACGCTTTATCGTTCGTAAAAGGTCCCTGCACAAATAGATTTGAAAATTTTATGTCAATATTAATTATTATAGGATACATTATATATGTGAGCATGAATATATTTTACCTTATCGAATCGCGCCACCAAAAAGATAGAATACGAGAATCGCCATTGACAAAATCCTCAACATCAATATTTATTTCACTTAGAAGATGATTGAATTTTTCGTAGCACAAAATCCAAATATTTTGTGGTTCATAATAGGTGAGGAAGTGAGGTTTCAAGACACCCACACGCTCATAATTTGCTAACTTGGAAGTTAGGGTAAATATCTTCTTTGCTAAGTCCTCTTCCGATTTTTCGAATTTAAAAAATCGAGCTTCTCCTTCTTTGCCATTTTTAAAATAGATTTTTCCGGTAGAGTAGATCTGGGATGGGTCGTAATTAAACTCGTATTGTATGATAATTCCATCATTCTTCTGCAAAATAAATAACCACAACATCATATTTGTAGCTTTACGCACATCACATGAACATAATCGATGGAACACAAAATAGAATAACATAAAATAAAAATAGGAACGTAGTCAAAACATACCACCACCAAATCCTTGTCGGGGTTGAGTTTATGTTTTTGTTCCTTTTGTATTCCATCAACTGAAACTTGTTGCTTTCCCATCCCAAATAAACGATTGCAGTATCCTCCAATATGAAAACACTCTTTTGCTATTAAAAACTGTGTCTTTGCTCTTCTCTCTAACTCTCTCGACGATTTTGTTCTTTTTATAGAGAATTGAATACCTAGGGTTTAAATCTATATTAATTAGGAATCCTAATTCTAATTTTCAAAAAAAAAAAAAAAAAAGGAATCCTAATTCTAATATAGGAAATTACGGCATAATCAGGAAATTGAGTCCAACTTTCCTGTTTTCCTTTTCCCTGTACCCACCCTGTTTTCCTCTTATTTTTCTAACACGCGTCCTGTTAACTAACAGAAAGGTTAACTGTGTTTTATATGTCAATTTTATTAAAATTTTATCAAATAATTCGTTCATCTTCATCTTTCCTTTTATATATAAAAAAAAAATCGTTCATCTTCTCTGCAACCCTCCGCAAACAGCACACCTCAGCGACAGCCCCCTCTGCTCGTCACTCCCCCAAGCCTCCCTTTCTCTCTCTTTGAATTTCTGCACCATATCAAGATAGTCTGAACTCAACCCGACCTCTTCTCCCACTTCGAATGCATCATCAACTATTGCCATAGCTCTCTCTATTCCTTTTGGATTTTTAGTGTCTTTAAACTTGTTTCTTTGATCGGTCGATCATCAACGTGACAAAGTCTGAACAATCGCGCCTCGAGATCACTACGAGAAAACGAAATTTAAAGTTTTTTATACCAAAAATTAAAAAATTAAAATAGTTCTAAGTTCTCACAACGTTTTGGGGTTTTTGTTTTGGGATTTAGTAGTGAGAGAGTCGAGAGTGTGATGACGAAAGGTGCGCGCTTCTTGTTCCAAATTTGTTTCCTCTCAAAACCTTCATATTCAGATCTTCACCATGAGAGAGAGAGAGAGAGAGAGAGAGAGAGAGAGTGTGTGTGTGTGTGTGGACTGTGGGGCAGGGGGTAGGGTCGGCTGTTGCATTTTTGCTTGGGTCGCTGCTGGGTTTCTGTTTCTTTATTTCTTTTCATTTTATTCTCTCTTTCTATTTTTCATTTTATTCAAAGTTAACAGCGCTGTGTTTCATGTTAAGAGAGAGGACAGCTATATGTGCATGTATATGCTAGATAGAAGACTTGCATGCTGTAAGTGTGTGTGTATATATATATAAAATAGGTGCAAGCATCTGAAACTGGATGATTTTCTTTGGGATTAACACTTTATCATGAGTGGTTAATTGTGAATTTCTGGTTGATGATCACAGTATAATATCTGTCAATGAGATCATCTAATTAATACTTAGAAACAAAATTTCCCGTCAAATGTGCATGAAATGAGTCTACGGATGCCACATCTGACAATGAGAAGCATCAGCGAGAACTGAGCCCCGGTGCTTCAGAAGTCAATCCAACCCATATCAACAATTCTAGTAGTGATGGCGGAGAGGTGTTGAATACAGGTGATAAATAGTTATTGTGTCAGCATGCCTTCCACTTTGGATAGATGGTCTTGCCTTTGTTTGGGTTGTCAAAGTATTATGTACTTATACTTTTGCAGATGGACGAACCAGTTTTGTGAACCTCTCAGCATTTTCAAAGATTATGAAAAAGTATGAGAAGGTAAGACATACACTTCAAACCTAACTGTATCAGAATTCTGCGCATATCCTCGTTCAAGAAAGTATTCTGGTGAAAAATCCATTCAAATAACCACAGATCACATCGAGGAGAGCAGCCAGATCATACATACGCTAATAGTAGACAACTCTGTTCTTGGCAGTTCTGATGAGGTTTGTCAGACGTATTTGTTGATGCTCTATCATTAGTCATTTCAGCATTTGGAATTCAATATATGCAATTTTTTTATGAATATCTTCTGTCTAATACTTTCTTCCTGTAACTTGTTAAAGAGGCGGGATGTTTTTTCAGTCACTGTTTCATTCACATTTCTCTATAGGTTACTAACCTCTTGGGGGTAGAGGCTACTGTCGTACAAAACTTTTCAAACTCAAATCGCAGGGAAGGTATGAAGTCGCTGAGACCAAAAGCGCTAAAAGAGAAAAGTGTGGTGTAACATTTGTCACCGGTAAGTATTGGTAGTGCCAATTAACCTTTTTGCTCAACCGTTTTATACAAAGATGACTGTGCAACATGTATTTCCAGTGCGTTATATGCAAGTAATTGAAGTATGAAAAGGCGGATTTCTATCAGTGTCATGGGATCTCCACTAATTAAATCCTATTTTATTTTGACTTTCAGGTTTCTTTCTATTTGGAGTATAGTCAACCATGAATTGCTTGCTAGGGGAGAGGAAGCTACTGTATCATGAGTGCTTGGTGTGCAGCTGTGAAAATCTTGGATTTAACACAGAATTGGACGTGTGATTAGTTTTGGCATTATTATATTACTTTGGGAGGTGATACACCGATACTGCATCACCATTGGAGTTAGTAAATTTCTTAATCATGTCAGTTTATTTATACTGAGTTTTATGGTCGTTTTAGCTGGCGGTATAGACTAGGTCTATATTCCACTATCAAATTGTATAAAGAAGTAATTTTGTTGATGTTCAACAACTAAAAGAAAATGCTTGTTGAAGAGAAGGGATGTGCATGCGTATTGGGCATTTGATGATACCCGGAATCCTTCATTTCTTGTATACCAAACTATAGCAATTGTGTCTCAGTAATTCAGCAAGAGTTCCCTTTCTTAAAGCAAAGTTACCAAGACACCAAATAATAGTTGCACAGAAGTTCAGAAGAACATTGTCTCTTCTGCAAAATTCTCTGCAACCTCTTTCGCCTAGTGCTCCAGAAGTTCTTCAGAACATTGCCTCTTCTCCCTGGCAGATAGGTTGCGATTTTCTCCCATTTGTTCCCAAATTGTACTGGTTGCAATTGTATCACCATCCTCTCTTCCTCTCCTGAAAACTTGCATCCACTTTGTCGTAAAGTTCACATTTTGTTGTTTTTGTTTTGTCAGCATCAATCTTAAGCAGGAATGTTAGGTACATAACACAACTACTAAATTGCCCAAAACCCACCAAGAAATCAACAAAGAAAACAGGATAAGTTACATAAATAAAACCAACACTGCAGATTTCCAAAGAAAGGAAGAACTATGACTTGCTAACCTATATATGCAGATTTCCAAAGAAAAGCTAGTTAGTGTTTGCTCTTCTATATATTACAAAAACCAATGATTGAGCTGGTGAAGCAACGCAAGGAGCATGTATTTCTGCTAGTTATTGACGATGTAATAAGTCCTCTTCAGTTACTGGGCAGTAAAAAACTTGTCAAACGTTAATTCTCAATGATTTGTCATTAAATTACAATGGGAAAGGAACTAATAGTCCTGCCTATATTAATCATAAAAAATTCCCAATTCCTAAAATCTCTTTTCTTCCGTTTTCTCAGCACTTGCAAGTTCCAGGAGACCCTACTTCTTCTTGGGCCTTTTGCAAGTTCTTGAATGCCCTTCAACTCTTTATTATGTTACTAGTTGTAGTTTCACTATGGTTCAACATTATTCTCCCAAATCTGCAACAAAATGAATATTATTATTAACACGATTAGTTAAAAGGAAGGCAATTGCCATAATACACATGTTGCTACACATACTTTCAGTTTCTTCGTTATTGCAGAGTCCTGAGCTCGACGAAATTCCCTGTCATAAGCTGTGGGATTAAATGGTTCAAATGTTGCAAGGCCGGCTTTAAGGAGGGGGATTGCCACATGGGTATTTGACTCCAATAAAGCTCCCATAAAATATCCATCTGAATCAATAGTCTCCAGCAGAACCTGTACAACAAATTCAATCTTACCGAATCAAGAAAAAAACCAAGGGGAAACCAAAGCTACCAGATAAGTGCTAAATAATTACCTCCACCCTTTTGTGAACTACGGTTTGCCTCAGCAGTTCAAATGCTTCATCTGCATAGGGCTCCTCACCTCTGGGCCATACGATACCATAAAGTGAGAAGGCAATCTTCCATGTTTTCTTATTGCTATGAATCAATAGTATAATTTTATCCATGGTGTCACTGTCAGTACGGATAACAGATTCCACAAAACCCTCAACTTTCTCGTATTCATCAAAGGCCCATACAAATATATTATTGTCACAGGCTTTCCCAACTTCCTCCCATGTTGCCTGAAACAAACGCATGCCATCAATGAATGAATGAATGAAAAAACTAACTCTTAGAAAATAACACATTGATCCCTTTTAATTATTATAAATTATTGGGTAATTCTCACATTTGACAAGTCTATTATGACCGGAGGATCCACACCAGAATGCATTGCTTTCTTATTAAGAATGGCAGATGATTCCACAGTACAAATGGCATCATAATAATTTGATGCCACCCCAATATCATTACATCCCAAAACAGTGTCAAGGCCTTCTGCCACGATCAACTCAGAAACATTCCGGCTATCAAGAGCAGAACCAAGGAAGACTGATCCGTAGCGGGGCTTCCTTGAATACTCCAGTTGAACATGCACCTGCAAGTGTTTTGGTCATCAATTTTCTTGAAGTATACACATATATACTTCAACGCCAAAAATTAAATAGAGATTTCTATAATAAAGAAAACAACATATCAAAAACAATTCTCATGCATACTTGACGCCCAATAAGGTGTGCTCTCACAAAATCCTTGGCTTCATCGGCATATGCCTCCGGTTCTAGTACTCCATCACCGCCCAATTTCGGAAACCTAATACTGGAAAGATAAACTTCATACTCTTGTTCAGCTACAGCGACAATGATATGGTCCCTACTTACAATGTTCACAACCTGGAAGAAAACAAAAATCAATTACACATTGGAATAGGCGTACGTACAGATGACAAAAGCATAATTGAGTGGTATAAATTTTCATAATAATCATTAATTTTTTAAATACTACGTACCGTTCCTATGAGATCCTGGGCTTCATAGTCTTTCCCAACAATTGATCTTCCTTCCTTAGCCTCATAATATGCATTTGTCAGCTCCCTCTTCTCATTAGTCATCATCATATACCACCTAATTGCTCTCCTCTCTTTGAACTCTCTCTCTTGCGTTGATCTACTTAATTTGATCGAATGAATAATGGTTGTGTTGTGCCAAGGGTTTTGTCCTTTTTATAGGCGATCACCCTAGACTTTAATTAAATCACCAACCCTAATTCTAATATAGGGCAAAAAAATAAATTTTGGGAAACTAGAAACAAAGTTTCCAAAAAAAAGGGGATCATTGATAGCTCGAAATCAGGGGCTGGTATTAATTAGGAAAAAGTTACAAAACATGAAGTTAATGTGTAAAATATAAAGGTGCATGGCATATATTTGTAACTGAGTTAATAAGGGGTCTTTCAATATAGGTCCAATTTTGAGTTTGCACTATGAATGCAGTTCACCTCTCTTTTGACGTAGAATTGGGTCCAGCGACTCAACAGGCCAGCTAAGTATGCAAAGCCTTGGCCACTATTTTAAAAACATTTACACATATTGCCATTGTATAGTCAATCTTCTAAATTTTATTAATTACTGCAATCAATAAATTAATATCATATTTCTACAATTTATCTCAATTTATCAAACGCTTTCAACCAGTGAACACCTTATGTAATTTCATAACATATATATTTCTTTGGGTGGTTTGATTTACCTGCTTTGCAGGTTTGTGTATACCTCCTTCATAGGTAATTTCATATCATATATCTCCTCCATAGGTAATTAACATTCATATGTATACATCCTCCATAGATAAATAGCATTCATACCTATACCTCCTCCATAGGTAATTTACCCATACCTAATTAACATTCATGTATATTCTTAGTCCATAGATAATTATACCTCCTCCATAGGACTGTAAGAAGAAACAGAAGAAAGAAGAAGAAAGATTATAGGAAATTTATTTATTTATTTATTGTATCATCACATGTTTATGGGATTTTCAAAATTAAAATGGATAGACAAGAAAATATTTTATAAATTCAAATCATAATTAACTAAAAGGTCAAATATAGTAATTATTTGCCTAAAATTAATTTCTTACCCGTTTATGAATTGCAATCAGAATCAATAGTTGTATTAATTAGCTAATTATTATGATATAAATCAGTCTTTCCTGATTTAAATCATAAGGGCATAATTGGAACATGAAAATAAATTTAAAAAGAAAAAATATATATGATTAGATCATAAAATTAGAAAAGGAATGTAATCCTATGTGGCATTGAATTGCACCAAATTCTATCATAAGAATTGGACTTATACCGAAATATTTATCAATAATATTACGATATTACCTCGGATCCCGAGCCTTTACATCTAACATCGGTGCATTTACCAGCATTTAAGACAATCTTAACCCTTAGATTAATCTAATGAGTTTTAATTGTATTTAGACTAAAACTAGAATGCACTTAGATTATCTTATCGGATCAAATCCTCTCCTAACATTGTTCACCTTTCAATCACAAAATAACCAAATTAAATAAATACCCACCATGAACTATAACATCATCTATCTCTATCTAGTACGATTTTCTTTTTATGAGAACCAATTCACATATCAGATTTAAGTCAAATTACAAAAGCCATTATTTCATTTCGATTGTGTTCTGCGTGAGTACTCGTAGCATAGGAAATTGAAAAAATAAACTATTTTGGGATCTCCCATTAGAAGATCAAGCAAGAGACGAACACCCAAACACTCTATATTTACAAATCCACAAATTGGGTACAAATATAAACCTAACACCCAAACCAAAGGATTATTATTATTATTTAAAAAAGAATGAAAGCTTGAGATTAGACCAAAGAATCTTTTCCATCAGGAACTGCTCTAACAAATAGAAAAAAGGAATTTTGATGTAAACCATATTGTCTTATTTAGATTTTAAAAAAGGGAGAAAAACGATGTGAAACCCCATATTTTTAATATTTCATAAATTAAATAATTACAATTATCAATCTCCAAAAAAATTATATAATTAATAATATATATATATATATATATATATATATATATATATTAATTGTATAGTAAGTTACGTAAAGATAGCTATTAACTAATAGCCATTCAAATGTTATTGCATGGTTTTATTCATTTCAGCACTATTTATCATTATTATTATATATATATATATATATACTTACTTTACAAAAACTATTAGAAAAACATATATGCTTACTAAGCATTGTTGAAAACTAACGTGTTGCATGGTGGTGTCCTCAAAATCCATTAAAGCTTGAGGTGTAATAATGGTAGTTATTCCTATATATAAAAACTTGTTAGGAGAGTGCTCACAAAGCACTCTACCAAGCCAACGCAAAAGGCTATTTGGGAGTCTAGGAACTTGTAGAATAATTAAGTGGCACAATATTAAGCTTCTTCTAACCGACTCTAGTATACTATAAATAGGTCTACTCAATAGTTCACAATATTAAGCTTCTTCTAACCGACTCTAGTATACTATAAATAGGTCTACTCAATAGTTCACAATATTAAGCTTCTTCTAACCGACTCTAGTATACTATAAATAGGTCTACTCAATAGTTCACAATATTAAGCTTCTTCTAACCGACTCTAGTATACTATAAATAGGTCTACTCAATAGTTCACAATATTAAGCTTCTTCTAACCGACTCTAGTATACTATAAATAGGTCTACTCAATAGTTCACAATATTAAGCTTCTTCTAACCGACTCTAGTATACTATAAATAGGTCTACTCAATAGTTCACAATATTAAGCTTCTTCTAACCGACTCTAGTATACTATAAATAGGTCTACTCAATAGTTCACAATATTAAGCTTCTTCTAACCGACTCTAGTATACTATAAATAGGTCTACTCAATAGTTCACAATATTAAGCTTCTTCTAACCGACTCTAGTATACTATAAATAGGTCTACTCAATAGTTCATTGATCATAGGTACTTCAAGTGTGTTAGTCTCCTAAAAATCCTAGACGGAAGAAAGAAAGAGTGAAGTAAGGTGAGATTTTGAAGAAGTTCAAAGTATTTGAGCTTACAACTGGTTATACAATAGCTTTGGATTTGAGGTAGGGGTTCTTTCTTGGGGAGGTTTTGCAAAAATTGATTTAATTAAATATTGTGAACACTATATCATGCTTGGTAATATTGGTTGATTATTATCCTTGATATTGGGCGTTTACATGATTGTCAATTATCATTATAATTTGATTAATATCGACATGTTCATATGTTGTCGGTGATGGTTGGAATTTTTGGGTTGATAAAGAAATTATGGAAAAGAGGATAATGGGAAGAATCTTTTGTGTAGTTGAGTCTAACCATTGTAGGGACCAAGTTCTCGTGCATTTACCCGCATTTCATGAAACACGCTCACTGAGAAAAGGAGAAGCCTGTTAAAACAAACACTCAACCCGTTAACGTGAGTTTTGGGGGAAAAAAAAAAATCTGATTTTAAGTTTGATCGCGTGTCATTTGTTAAGTGGTTAGATTGTTTGAGTGGTTTAGATTTAATGAAATGCGGGTAAATGCACAAGACCAAAAATATTAAATTCCTTAGTTTTAAATATCAGAAAAATAATATCTTAATGGATTAAAAACAAGAAATTAAATCCTTAGTGCTATTTGTGTTCTGGTTAAAGATAAAATAAGAAATTAAATCCAAATCTTGCCTACCATAAAGTCTTATTTATTAGAAAATAAAAGTAGCACAATTTATCTGCTCTCATAAAATATAAAATAAAAATAATTAATTCCCGAAAATAAAAGTACCACAATTAATCCTCTCATAAAAATAAAAATAAGAATAATATCCTAAAAACCTAAAGCAGAAAAATTGTCTCCCAGTAGCAAATCTTCGGGTTCGATGGAGCCAGGCTAACTATGATCTGCACACACCAAAAAAAAAAAAAAAAGAATAATCAGAAGGATAAAAAGCGGAGGAAAACAATCACATATATACCGTATGTAGAGTAAAAAGTACCTTTAGCTTTAGATATGAAGAGGGTATAAAGCTTATCCAAGAAATTGGGATACAGTTTTCCAACCTCTAAGTCAACCGCTTCAATGGTGATACGCTGCCCCTTGTGGTGGACCTTTACATTTCTTAAAAATTTAATAAGGTGCAATACACTTTGACCGTTGTAGGAGGAATCCTTATACTGATAAATTCTTCGGAAGGCTTGATGCATTTTGTTAAGATCATTCCACTTTTGATACTGTTTGAATTCGTCGCCGTTATTTAATCTTTCCTGGATTTTCGTCATGAGGGTATCATCGTCTTGTAGGTCGGTCCATATGTCAGTAAAAGACTGCATTCTTTCCTTACAACTCAATAAAAAGGGATGCTTCTCAAGTTTCTCGACAAATATAGTGTACCTTGAAAAAAATCACAAAAGAACTCAGGTCAGATTTGTAAGCTAAATACATAAAATAAATTTATCATAAATATGTGCATTAATCATGTAAGAATAATTTGACAACTAAATTTCTTACGGGAAACTTTCATTGTCAAAGAAGTCACAGAAACCATCACGATCATCCCATCTAACACCCGGCATGAGTATTTTATTCTTTAACATGACCCTGAATGCTTTTAAGTCATCAATTCTCAACTTCCATACTTTTGTAGGAGTTACACGATCTTCGACGTCCTCTTCAAAACAACCTTGAACGTTAACAATCTTGATTTTCCCAGAAACAACAACATAATTGCATATGTTGTTCAAACCCATATGAAAAAAACCTTTAAAATGTAAATCCTTTATTGTTCGTAAAACGCCACTGCACAATGAATTAAAAACAATATGTCAGATTTTAATTGCAATAAGATACATAAATGAGAAAATAAATAAAAATTAGAAGATATCAATATAATATTATACCGAATCTCATCCCTCAACCAAAATGTTAGTAAATGAGAATTGCGCTCCATTATATCCTTTTCAAGATTCTCATGATTCATATATTCGTCTAGAAGAGAATCGAACCAATCATAGCACAAAATCCATAATCTTTGTGATTCATTGTAAGCTGCAAAGTAAGCTTTCAAGACCCTCTTATGATTTATCTTGGAAGTTCTGGATAT